GCAACATTTCTCTGTCAGTAAAAATAGGACAGATACACAGAAAATCAGTAAGAGATATAAAAGACCAGAGCTACACAGCAACTTGACCAACCTGATACTGACAGAATGCTCCACCAAACAATAGCAGAATGTACTGGTACTCTTTTCAAGTGCCCATGGAACATTCACCAAGATGACTATACACTGGGCCATAAAGCAAACCTCACCAAGTTTAAAAGAACTGACGTCATATGAAGTATGTTCTGTTACCACAGTGGAATGAAACTAGAAATCAATAACAGAAAGATACCTGGAGAATCCCCGAAATGTTTGGAAATTAAATGACTCATGAAAAACTCACAGGCAAAAAAGGAAGTCACACGGGAAATTAGAATATATTTGAATGAAAGTGAAACATCAAATATCAGAATTTGGGAGATGCAGGTAAAGTAACGTTAGTGGGAAATTTATAGCATTAAATGCTTATACTTGATAAGAAGAAAGGTCTCAAATTAATGGTATAGTTTCACCATAAGGATTTAGAAAAAAGAAAGCCAAATTAAATCCAAAGCAAACAAAAGGAATATAATAATTAAGATAAGAGCAGAAATTAATGAACTTTAAAAGAGAAACACAATAGGGAAAATGAACAAAATCAAGTTGATTCAGTGTGTCTCTATAACTTTCTAATTAAATAAGAAGAAAACTTTGTTTAATAATTATATTTAAATTGTTATTGGATTTGGGGGGTCATTTTATGTATTTGGGGATGGTAAATAAGATAACTAGTGCCTAATTAGATTCATAATTTTAATTCAATTTACCTGCAATTTTATCAATGCTTGCTTATCAATGTCTTTAAAGGTATGATTTTATGGAAAATTTTACCTGCAGTCTGAAAAAATTCTGTTCTTTAAACTGGAGTTATTTTTTTTTAACACCTTCACATCTGAGCATAAACTGAAGTTAGTATGCTGTGTAAGACTGGAGTATGAACTTGGAATACTTACAGAACAAATAAATCAGAGATTGATAAACTCTATTGGGTCTTTACACACTACACAATTGGCAATGTGTATTTACTTCATCTGGTAATAAAAAAGTCAATTTCAGAGTTAACAAAGAATTAATATGTAAAACAGAACTATGCAGTAGTAATCTCCAGAGCTAGAATTTACTCATGTGTTTATAAGTCACAGTTTTAGGGGATCACCAGAGATAACCACAGTGAAAGAAAGTTATTCTGTTGTAAATTCAGTTCTGATAGTCACCCCTGATGACCTTTCGTCTTAATCAATTGAATAATTTCTAAGTTAGCTCATGTCATAATTATGCCAATCTTCCTTCAGGAGGTTCATTTTAAGGATCTCTAACAGCAAATCACTGAGCCCCTAAGCTTCCAAAAGGCAGGCATCCTAGGTCCAGCACTAACTCCACTCCAGTGCTTTTGGTTACCCGTGTATCTATTCTTTGGCTTTTCTGTTTGTTTGTTTTTGTTTTCACTACATACTCTTCTAGAGCTAGCAGTGCAATGTCTCGTTCGTGAAACCATGCTCGTTATTCCCTTCATTTTAGCTTGATGAGAGAGTAGCTCGCAATGTGCCAAAGAACTGTAGGCGTGTTAGGCAGGAGAGGGCAGCAGGTCCTCCAGTCTTTAGGTAGGCAAGGTCCTTTGCAGAGGGCCCTGGTGTTAGCTGTGGTCCTCAGCCTTGGATATACATTGGTAATGCCTGGGGTGCCTTTAAAAAGTACTAATGCTAAACTATTATTCCCAGACATTCTGGTTTGATTTTTCTTGGGTCAAAATCACCCCATTTTTCAAAAAAGCAGCCAAAATTATTATTTATCAAAATTAAGAACCACTGAGATAAAGTATTAAGAAGTTTTCAGATGAGGCAACCCAAATCTCCCTTCTCACCAGTATATGGATTCAGGCTATGAAGCACATTCTAAATATCATAAGTTTAAAAAGCATAAAATAAATGTCATGAAGAGAGTTAAAATGGAGCAGTGATTCTACTTTCTGCACTGCATTGCAAGGTTTTACATCTTGAAAATGCAAACTTTTGTAGATGATTCAAAACATATGTGTTGGTCTTTATGTGTAAAGAACACTTTGTGCACATTAACCCATCTGCAGTGGGTGGTAGCTTTATGTCTTTTTTTTTTTAAGTGAGATTTCACAAAACAATGCACAGTTGCTCATTTTCTGAGTTATGGGAATAGTTAGTATATTATATATTAGTGAGGGTTCACTCAGGGAAAAAATCCTTCTAACTATTTCAAGCAGAAAGGGGTTGTATTAGTGCTTATGTTATATATTCATTGACAGGCTGAAGTGGGAAAGTGAAGGGAGGCTGCCCTAGGGCTCAGGGTAGTCACCCTTGCTGTGATCAAGGAAGCCTGATTGCCCATTTCAAGCCATTTGGGTTTATTTATTATTATTTTTCTTCTATGTATTAGATGAAAAAACAAGCAAAAAATTGAACAGTTAGTAATTTCACCCATTTGTCACTTAGATGGGTGGTAATTTATTATCTAAGTCAAAAACATACATGTTCCCAGAGATGGGTCACAGCTCTGACTGGCTTCCTGCTGTCCTCCACGGGCTGGTGACCGTGAAGGGCTGGTGTCCGTGAAGGGCTGGTGACCGTGAAGGGCTGGTGTCCGTGAAGGGCTGGTGTCCTGTGAAGGGCTGGTGTCCGTGAAGGGCTGGTGACCGTGAAGGGCTGGTGACCGTGAAGGGCTGGTGTCCGTGAAGGGCTGGTGTCCTGTGAAGGGCTGGTGTCCATGAAAGGCTGGCTGTGTGACTGTGGGGGCGGCCGCGTTTCCTCTGCAGGAAAATGGCGTGTGGGATGCGGGCTCTCTGCTGGCGGGCCGTGCGCTGGCCCGGCGCCCCTAGCCACGCTGGGTCCTACGTGCGTTAGCTTGTGTCACTGTATACTTCCCAGAGTTGTTAGGCCTCCGTAATACCGCTGGCTTCTAAAGGCTGGCCGGTGAAGGCCGAGTGCTAAATCCCTCGCGGTGGGATTTGAGACAGCAGGAGAGGGCTGGGGTTTGTTGTTGCTGTTCCCAGTTTGTCTGGTTCTTTAAGATGGCAGGGGAGGCAACGAACTAAGATTGGATACGTTTTAGGGAATCAAAGCACCAGTGTTCCTAATCTTTTTGTAAAATACTACCTTAGTTTTTCCTTGAGGACTAGAATTATTTTCCTGGATAGAATGATAAGGCCCAGTGGCCACTTGCGTGCTTCAAATGGCACGCTCAAAGCTGTCCTGTGGGTAGAAAAGTTGGTGCCACGCTTCTGAAATAGGCGTTTTAGGCCACGGATACCGTAGCTTGCTTATCATTGCTTTTTCTACATCTGAATGAGTTCTTATCAGCTATGCTTCATCCATTAAAAAAGAACTTACATCAAACCCTGTCACTTTTTTCAGTTTGGCTCTAGGGCTCACAGGCTCACAAACACACCCCACTGAAAGTAATCGCCCGCACATCAGCTAGGAGGAGGAACGTGCTGCTCGCCTCCTCAATTCCTTACAAGATTTATAAGCGGCTTATGAATAGATAAGGCAACAGATGTACCTTGTAAAGATGACTTTTAAAAATAAACTATAATTGTTTTGCCTTGGCTTCTGGCCAAAGCAACGGGATCTGAGTCTGATGGATGGTACAAGCGAGCTTTCTATCTTAAAACTGCAAATGGTTTTGCTCCTTTGTTTCTTTTGCTTGAATACAAACATAAGAAAGACAAATAGGATTATGAACTTGATAAAAGACTAAGTCTTGCAATAATCTACATTGAAGGATGCAAAACTGAGAATCATTGATTAAATAGTGAACTTGCCAGTGTGGATCCCAAGTGACTCATGTAACTCTCATCGCATGAGCCCATCATGCGGCTGTCCCCACAGAGGCACACCTCTGCAGCAAATTCCAACACAGCTGAAAGACAAAAGAGTTCCCAGAGACGTAATTCTGGCTGGTCTCACACTCACAAGAAAGGAACTAGAAAGAAGTCAGAGCTATGCATCTGTGAAATAACAGAAGAGGTTAATGGAGTCCTATCTTATATCTTACTATGTGCAGCAATGCATGAAAAGTAGACGTGGCTGCCTATTTACTATAGAAAAACATCCACTCTCCTCTGTTTCCTTTGGTCATGGAAACCTCCGAGTTTTAGCTAGGTACACAGCCACCCAGTTAAAACTCGCATTTCCCAGATCCCTCACTCTTAGCTGCAGCCATGTGACTGTATTCTAGCAATGAGATGTGAACAGAAATGGTGAACGCAACTTTTCAGCCTTATCTTTAAAGAGAAAAGGGAAACCCTTCACTTCTCCTTTCCCTTTCCCACTGCCTGGGCTGCAGACCCAGAGGACGTGGCAAGGAGTCGGCGCGGACCACGTGGATGAGGTAAGCACGCTAGGGAATCAGCGAGGCGACGGTGCCTGCGCCCCATACTGGGGCCGCCACAGCAGCGCTGCATTTCTTAGCTCTAACAGCTCCACGGGAGAGAAATTGATTTCTATCTTATCTAAGCTATGTTTTTTTGGTAATGCTTTTTTACATCAGCTGAACCTGTGTCTTAGCTAACATAGTAGAATAGATATTATTACTTATTTTATAAAAGGAGAAATTGAGGCTTAATGATTTACTAAAGGTCACATAACTGAAAAGTGTCAGAGTTAAGCGTTCACAACTAGTGATCTAATTTCACCTACATGATGTGACATCTCAAGTCAGTTGGTACGGATTCGTGTCTGGTTGGTGGTTCTTGCAGGAATGCATGGCTACTCTTAACTAAAGAATGGTTCTTCTCTAAGAGGAAAGATATTCCCCCTTCAAATGATGTCATTTGGAAAGAGTAGCATCTGGAATAAGGGAGGGAGGGGACACCACCTTACTTAGTGCTGTGCTAGGTGTCGTGGGTTTACAAGAATACAGAGATAAAAAAAATCAAATTTAAATTTTATTTATTTAAATATTTATTTAAATATTTATTTCCCATGTGTGTTAGTTCTCTTGCCTGCAGGATTCTGTAGAACTACCATGGTGATTAAATCCACAATTCTGTGTGTATCTTGAGTTTGGAAAGAATATTTTTTTCATTGTCCAGTGTCTGAAACATAGTACAAGCACAATAACGTCATTAAAATTATTTTTTACATTGTAATTTAAATCTGTATTAATTAAAATAATTTTATTGATATTTCTACAAATTATATAATTAGAATTTCTTATTAGGACATCTATTTCTTCTTCTAATGCAAATAATAATAAAAAGACAATTGTGACACATCATTATGATTTATGATTTCTCTTGAATTAAGAATCCTTCTTTATTATTTATGTAGCCAAATTATTTTTTATCATGCAGGAATAACACCAATTCTTTCCCAATTATGGATAGCATAATAATTATAGTGTTATGTTTATTTTTCTATTTTTTACCCCTAGTCTCAGTAGGGTTATTAACTCAAGTCCTTTTATCTAATGAATTAGATTAATTTAATTCATGTTTTGACTGTTAGTTTCCACTAACAAAGGAAAAAATTCTTGGAGGTCTCTTAAGACATGTATTGCTTAATGTATTTTGCTCACTGATGTGTGGAAGTGAGAAAGTGAGATATTCTAATAACACGAAAATCTAGGAATTGCAGCTTCCTCTTCTCACTTTTTAAAAATTATTGTTTCTAGATGTTTCTTTTTGCTACCTTTTGTTTTGAGTGTTATTCAATGTTATGATGGATCAGAAGATTTAAAGATATTTTGCCTGTATTTTTCTTGATAACAGGGTAAGAATTAGAAAACCCCGAGCTAGTGTCAGTAAGCCAACAAAGATGAAGACTTTTTTAAATTAAAAAAAATTGATAAAATCTCCACTGCTCAGTATTTATATACTTGGATTACAAATATGTAAATTGGTTGAATGAGAAGATAAATTAACAGAAAGACAAGCTCATGGGGAGGACTGAGAACTACAAACAGCATCAGCAGTGCCAACGGCCCAATGGATTGTTCTCAGGAAATTTTTCAACTAGAGAAAATATCAATTATGCTTCAACCATTTTGATCCTAGAGAGTGATTATCATTTTATATCTTCCTGCCAGATAATGCCTCTAAATGCTATGACTTTGAATATAATTTTGTTGTTTTATAAGGATATGAATAATTATCATTTGTAGAATGCATTGAATCCAAGTAAGAAGACAATGCGGCACATTAAAAAGTCTTTTCCTTGCTGTCCCTGGAAATCTGAGAACAAAAATCACTAGGAACAGATTTCAGTAGAAGAGACCACTACAGGCATCAGTTTTTACTATACGGTGAAAAGTGAGGAGGATTATATTAAGTAGAATGGAAATTAAAGTGCAGTATTGTAATTTGTAATGCATTTGAAAAGCAAGATTAGGCTACAGTGCTTTGTAGTAATAATAGGTTCAGTTAATTCACTCAGGACACAGCAAATTAAATCTCAGAATTGTTGCTCAATTGATTGCAGAGTTCCATCTGATACTGTGAAAAGAGGAAGCCCCACAGCTCTGCTACAATTTCCCTGACAAGGCTGAGGCTCCCAGCTTGAGTGATCAAAAGGAAACAAGTCAGTCCTGCCTTAATAAGCATGGCTGCCGTTAACCAAGGGATGAGATTTGAAATCTCTCTCAGGAAGAGCCCCGTTTTCCAAACTGTAATTTTGAGAGAGGCCAAAACTCATTAATTCATTTGGTATATATGAATATTGGTAGCAAAGGTTTAAACAAAATTATCTTATACATTGTTCTAAATCAGAGGAAAATTCCCTTGGAGTCTCAATATCAAATTATATTTTGTAAACTACTACATCCTATGCATTTTGGGGGACACTGAAGAAGCGCAGGTTTATCAGAAATGAAGGGGACTGTTTCGCAAAGCACCTGAGAGCAATAAGTGTAAATTGAGTGGCACTGACCATAAATACAGCAGGAGCTGCAGCGGGCACTGGCAGGTTAGAGGTTTGGAGCTGCAGCCTTCTGATTTCAAGGCTGTTCTGTTTTAAGCATCAAAGTAGGCAAGAAAAGCTTCTTCTTTCTTTGTTGCATCCCTTTTAATAAAAGGATTTATTCTGTAAAATTTGGATTCAGTCAAAAGGCCACAGTCAAGGATCCAGAAAGCCACATGGGCCCCAAGGCTGCAGGTTCCCCACCATCTAGGCCGACAGATGGTCACTGTCAGTAGATGAACTGGCGATTCCTGTCACCCGATCTTCCAGGATGACAGCCACTGAAATATCTCGGGTGGGTATCTTGTAGAGGAGGGAGAATTCAGAGCAGAGGGTGTGGGACAAGGGAATGACTGATGACACCTGTGGGGACACATCGTGTGAGTCTTTTGGCCTATGGTCTAATAAGTAGACCTGAGAATGAGGCCAGAATTTAAAATACCTGGGTCTACTTCATGGATTATATATTGCGCCTACATCATGTCCAGCATGGGATATAGTCCTATTTTCTTTATATTAATTTTTCACAAAGGTGTCTTAGTTTTGTGTAAGCAAATATAGAGGGGTGTGTGTGTGTGTGTGTGTGTGTGTGTGTGTGTGTGTGTGTAGAAGTATTTAAAAATCTGTGAGATACCTTTTGCAGCAACATGCATGGAACTGGAGGTCATTATCTTACGTGAAACAAGCCAGGCACAGAAAGTCAGATATTACATGTTCCCACCCACAAGTGGGGGCTAAAATAATGTGTTCACATAGACATAGAGAGTGGAATGATAGACAATGGAGACTGGGAAGGGTGAGGGACAGAAGGGTGGTGGATGATGATAAATTAGTTAATGGGTACAGTGTATATTTTGGGGTGATGAATACCCTAAAAGCCCCGACTTAACCACTATGCAATCTATGCATGTAATAAAATTGCATGTATAACCCATAAATTTGTACAAATAAACAATAAAAAATAAAAATCTGTGAGAATTTGAAAACAACCTGTGATCATTTCCATGAAGGAGAAACATCTGCACAGTGCTATGGAAGGACTAATATATTTGTCTAAAAACAAAAGCATCTGTTCATTCATTAATTCTTGATGCTCTGTCAATGCATGAATTGTGCAATGATCTACACAGATAATCAAGGAAAACAGATTCTACACAAAGCGAATTGGCCCCGAAAAGGCAAGTTACCTTCTAGGCCACCACTTGGTTACCTTGCCGCCATAGTAACGGCCCATTTGACAGGCGGCGATGTACTAGAGGGGGAGAAACACACAAAAGATTGACAGAAAAAGGAAACCAGGTTTTGGTGGTGGTGGTGGTGTTAATGTTTTCTTTTGCTTCCATGTGTCACTTCTCTTTTGTAATAAGTTTATAACTTCAGGGCACTTGGATTGCTTTTATTGAAACATGACTTAGAAACTATAAAGCTGTTTTAAGCATTGTTGGGAACCACTGAAATAGATAAGAAATTGTTATAGTTGGCAAAGTTGCAAAGAAATAACTATCAGCAAGCCGCCGAACGCTACCAAACTCACAGTGCTGCTAAATCTACAGAAAAATGCTGACTTATAGGCAGGGAAGTGATTCTCTTCAGAGACTCTGACATACATAGACATCGAAGTCTTTAAGTCTAACCCCAAATTCTATACTATTTAAAAATTTTTCAAGAGACTATCATGCTACATTTCAAATCTGAAGAATTAAGTTGCATTGTGCATTTTACCTTAGAATCAATGGAGATCTGTTGTATATACTGGAGATAAAAAAGGAAACAGCTGTACAGATTACATCCAGACCCTGGGAGGAAAAATATAGTACCTCTCTAGTCATAGCAATCCATCAAAATACTTGAGTTTTTCCAGAGCATGGCCACAAACAAAATTTAATTGAATGAATTTAAATGAAAATCACTGTGGTGGGCAGAATCACGGTCCTCCAGAGATGTCCACATCCTAATCCCTGGAATCTGTGACTGTGACCTGATGTGCAAAGGAGAACTAAATTTGCAAGTGGAATTAAGGTTGCTAATCACATTTTGCCCAGGTGCATACAAGGTAATCACAAGTGTCCTTAAAAGTGGAAGAGGGAGACAGAGGGGTCCAGAGTCAGAGTGATTCTGTGAGACAGACCTGGTTGGTCCTTGCTGCCTTTGCAGATGGAAGGGGCCACGAGCCAAGGAATGTGGGCAGCTGCTAGACTCTGCAAAAGGCAAGAAAACAGACTCTCCCCCGCAGCCCCTCACCGGGCTGCAGTCAGTGTTGGCTTCCAATACTTTGACTACAGCCCAGTGAGACTTATTTTGGTCTTGTAACTTGCATAACTGTAAGATAATACATTTTTGTTGTTTAAGGTACTAAGTTGTGGTAATTTGTGAGCAGGAGTAGGAAACTAATCAACTCTAAGATACAATTTTTCTGAATGTAAAGTAGAATATAGGTTATTTTCAGGAATTGCTACCTTAGTTTTTAATCTTTCTGACATTTTGTATGTATGATTAGAGCTCTAAAGCTAGCTTGTGTGTATATCAAAAGTTAATTCATCATTAGCACATCTCTATGTTTTCTCCTATTTGAGAACAGATTTTCAAAAAACAATATGATTATACATGATAATTAACACAGCATACTATGTGAATGATTTATTGAATATTCCTGTAGAATAGCCCTCTAATACATCATTAATACTGAAGTTATAATACAGAGCAAACATTATCTCAGTATGAGAGAAATGGCATTTTATGACTCTTAGCATAGTCTCTGATTAAAGACAATAATAATTACTCCAAATTTGCATCATGTCAGGATATGTCTGTAGAGGATCTCCTTGGTAATAGCAAAAGGTATAGATATCAGGAAACAGGAAAAGCTCTGGAATCCTGATATACACAATAGAAATCATAATTCTTACTATATTTGGTGGTTGCAAGGACCTAATAAAATTATATATGTAAACAGCTTCACACTGTGGTACATAGTAGGTGCCCACTAATTATTAGATTCCAATCTTAAAAATCTATTTCCTCTCCCCTGTTAATGGATATTGAGAATGATAAATTATAGCTTGTCAGCCCTTGTGTTTGACTAGAAGAGAATGTTACCTTCCGATGTCTAATATTTCCTCTTCCCTTTCAAATTATTGTAAACTGTGTTTTCTCACTAAGTAGCGAAATGGTAGACTTGCCAATCTTATTTGTACCTCAGGGCCTTTGCACTTGGTGTTTCTTCAGCTGGGAACAGTTTTCCTCCAGATGTCGCCTAATGACTTGTCTGTTATTTTATTGAGACCCCTGAATAAAGCAGTAGTCCTCAGAAACAGCCCTCTTTGACAACATATTTGAAATATTACCAGTATTATTATATCTCCTTACCTTGCTTTACTTTCCTTCAAAGTGCTCACTACTACCTGATGTTCCATATTTGTATTAGGGTTCTCCAGAGAAATGGAGCCAATAGGATATAGGAGATATGTGAATGTGAGTGTATGTGTGTATTTATGTACATACACACACACGTACATATACATATTTATGTAATGAAATTTGTTGCAAGGAATTGGCTCATGCATTCATGGAGTCTGAGTCCCACAATCTGCTGTCTACACACTGGAGAGCCAGCAAAGCCAGTGGTTTAATTTAGTCCTAGTCCAAAGCCTGAGATCCAGGAGTATGGATGGTGTGAGCCCAGTACGGGGGCAATGGAAGAATGATATCTAAGCTCAAGCAGTCAGGCAGAGAGAGAAATCAACCTTCCTCCTCCATTGTGCTCTGTTTGGGCCCTCAGTGGGTTTTCTGCTGTGCACCAATACGGGGGAGGACCATCTGCTTCCCTCAGTCTGCTAATCTCTTCTGGAAAGACTCTCACAGACACATCCAGAAATAATGGTTAACCAGTTAGCCTGTGGTCCAGTCAAGTTAACATGTAAAATTAATATTCACAATTTTGTACATATTTGTTTATTTCTTGCCTGTTTCCTTCACTTGAATGTAAGTTCCATAAGGGTAGGGACCAGCACCTAGGACAGTGCCTGGTACTTAGTGGGCACTCAACAAATGTAACGAAGGAAAGAATGTTGGGGTCAAAGCCTTGTTTTCTTAAGCAGAATATTTACATATATTCTATTCTTCCTAATAACATGTATTATAAATGTATGGAAGGAGGTGCTTTTGTAATCTATGTTAATTTGTCTTGCTTTATCTAGTGTTCAGTGAACTTTGAGTTGGGGTATGCTTAAATCATTCTTTCTGAGCATCGAATGATGTGGTGTGGAACAGCACAGATTGACAGGTAAGGACACAGCCAAGTAAGGACACAGCCAGGATGTTTCCTTCTAACTCATTCTCGTATTTGTGGAGACCTCCGTTGGGGTTTGGGGATTAATGGAATGAAACAAATGGAGTAGAGTCTATCATCTTTGATCATATTGCTGAATTGAAGAATGAGGCTGAGATGTTAGGTTGGGACGGTTAATTTTACGTTTCAACTTGACTTGGCTAAGGGATGACCAGATAACTGGTAGACATTATTTTGAGGTGTGACTATAAGGCTGTTTCTGGAAGAGATTAGCACTTGACTAGGTGCATTGAGTAAAGAAGATCGCCCTCCCCAGCATGGATGGTCACCATCCAATCTGTTTAGAGCCTGAATAGAACAAAAAGTTAGAGGAAGGATGATGAATTTGCTCTGTGGCTGAGCTGGGACATCCCTCTTCTCCTGCCCTTGGACGCTGGTGCTCCTGGTTCTTTTTTGCACCATTGGCCCCCCAGGTTCTCGGACCTTCAAGTCTGAGCTAAAACCATGCCTCTGGCTTTCTGGGCCACCAGCTCATAGATGGAAGACAATGGAACTTCTTAGACTCCATAATCATATGAGATAATTTAGTATAATAAATCTCTTCCTATGTATCTCTGCCTCTCTATATAATATATCCTATTGGCTCCATATCTCTGAAGAACCCTGGCAAATACATGGGCCAAATAAATTCTTTCTACTTATTACCCAAGTCTCAGCTTTGGGAAAATTAACCCAGGAAAGTGCCTTGGATTACAGAACAGACCCTCTAAAGCCACCTAGCTGCAAGAGAGGATTGCTGCTTTGCCTATTGGCTACTGAAATATAATAATAGTTTGTGGTCCTAAATATTTCAAAATGGAGTTGCTTTTGACTCTGCCCCTCAAGATGATAGGCACATTTGTGGTGGACTGGGGTGATAACACCTGCTGCAGCCAGGCACCACCAACACCCAACAAGAAAGTAAAACCAAAAGGCAACTGAGGTCATGGTGGTGGATACTCCCACGGAGGCCAAAAAACAGCAAAGAAAGTAGCCATGGCCAAGATGCCTGCAGAAGTTTCTTGCATGAGAATTATGGGGCTTTCAGCAGTGACACCCCCCCAAAGCTGTGCCTGGATAAGAGTAGTGACCCCCCCATCCCCTTACCTCTTCTGGTGACATTTCAAGAAAAATCCAGACCTGGGTCATCTGTCAGCATGGCTGGTTCCTGTTCCCCCTCTCTCATTACGGCCTGTGTGTGTTGAACGTATTGATATTTGCAAGGTTGTTGGTTTGTGGAAGCCTCACAATAATTGTCACTTTGCAAGTGTTTCATTGGCCATTGAGTCATTGTGAAACCTCCTGGCCTCCCAGCTGGAGCTAGCACAACTAGGCCGATTCAGACCTGACACAATAGCTATCTTTTTTAATAGATAAAGTTATCTCACTATTATGGGTTGAATTATATCCTATCCTAACACTTATTTGCTGAAACCCTTGCCCCCGGGACCTCAGAGTATGACTGTATTTGGCAATAGAGTCTTTGAAGAGGCAATTAAGCTAAACTGAGGGCACACGGCGAGCCGTAATCCAACATCGCTGGTGTCCTCCTGAGAAGTGATTAGGACAGACACACAGACACACAGACACAGGGAAGACTGCGTGAGGACACGGGGAGAAACTGGTCGTCTAAGGGCCAAGGAGAGAAGTCTCAGAAGAAACCAACCTTGCTGCCACCATGACCTCAGACTTCTGGCCTCCAGAAATCATGAGAAAGTAACTTTCTTACACTAAACTCACTCATTCTGTGGTGTTTTGTTACGGCAGCCCAAGCAGATGAATATGCAACTAACTTTGAAAAGATTTTCCACTGTGCCTTCTTCATTTGAGCGTGACTAAATCAGAGGGACCTCACGTCACTATTTATCACCTTCTCTGAGCTTAGAACCCTGGGCTCATGTTTTAGGGCACGAAACAGCACCTAAACAGCCTTAGAATATGTCTCTGTGACATGTTCACATTTATTCCATTCACCACCACTTGTTAAGCCATCACTGGTCTTGCCTGGGCTTGTCCCTATCTGCTCTTGTCTTCTGCCCTCCTGGGCCCTCCTGCTCAGTCTCCTTTTGTTATGTAGCTTGAAATGATTCCAAACACTTACCTAGTTTGCTGTGTGCATAATACATATTTTGCTGTCTTAAGAACTGGGAGTGTACTCCCCACTCCCTGGAGAATGTGACGTCTTATCAGATCTCATACGTGAGAACTTGGAGTTTCACCTCTTCCACTTGGGAGTACATCACACCTTATCAGAACCCATATGTGGATTCCTGACTCAACTCCTACACTGCGAAATACATGTCAACCTCAGAGTCTGGCAGGCACTTGGAGAGCTTAGGCTGTAGCAGTGTCCCCTGTGCCAGCTGCTCTTCTGAAGGCCAAGAGCTGGGCAGAGACAGGCCTTGGCGCCTTGAATCCGGCCTGACAGCACCAGCACCGCCCCTAGCTCGAGGGAGCTTGCCTGCTTTTCTTCGGTCTCCACTCTGGTGGCCAAGCCCGCCCCTCCCAGAGCCCTGCACACACAGCTCCACCTCTAGCGTTAATTAGTCTGACTGTCCACAGAGGCCTGTTCCATGCTAACTGTGCACCGAGGCCTCATGATCTCGGAGCTCACCGAGTGGCTGCGTGTACCTTGCCTATTGAGTATGTTCCCTGTTAGGTTTGTTCGCGTTATTCTCCCCTTCTTTAAGCATTGTGAACCTTAAAGAGAAGAAAAAATTCTCTGTGTGACAATAAACTGTGTGATTTATGAAATCATACTTTGACCGTCTCCTTATTTTAACCTTTGCAGTTTCTTCCTCTGCTTATTTGACCCCGGCCCTTTTTCTCTTTGTGAACAGGCGGAGGCTCGGGAGCCCCCAGCAGGTTTTCCAAGGGGCACGTGCCCTGCCCGAGCCTGCGCCTGCTCTGCGTTGCCCTGCAGCTGGATACCCTTCTGCCTTGCCCCTGTCCCCCAGAGAGCACCAGCCAGGCTCCGCGCGGCCTCCCCACCCACAGCCTCCCCACCCACGGCCCCGCAGGGTGAGGACTCCCTTGCACTCCTGTGAGGCCCTGTGCACCCCCACCCCGCCCGCCTCTGTGACATCACCTTGCATCACACCGCAAACTGTCTTCTCCCCCCGTAGACCACACGTCCTCAAACTATGGCCCGCGGGCCACATGCGGGTGTTTTTGCCCATTTGTTTTTTTACTTCAAAATAAGATATGTGCAGTGTGCATAGGAATTTGTTCATAGTTTTTTTTAAGCTATAGTCCAGCCCTCCAACGGTCTGAGGGACAGTGAACTGGCCCCCTGATTTTAAAAAGTTTGAGGACCCCTGCTCTAGACAGTAAACTTCTGGGGAGGAAAGAAGGAAGAAAAGGTAAAAAAAAATTACCATTTGCTGTAGATATTACGTGGGGAAGGAACAGAAGCATGCCTCATAGAACTACTCCAAAAAACAGCATCATGCAAAAACACAGAGACAAAATGTGGGATGGATTGTTTTCCAAGTCCTTTCATTTTTAATGTTCATTTTTTCACTCTTAGATGCACAGCTGAGTTTATCACAGTTAGAGCAACATACACTTCATAAAAATGGTCTTATTTAATTGAAAAAGCTTTGAAAAATGTTTAATGACTACAGAAATCCGTTTGCCAGAGGCTGTCTCTAGGATATACTCGATGTTTTCCTGTGGATAATAATAGTACAGTGTGCCTATTTCCCATGGGTTTTGAGGAGATTAAATAACTAAACAGATGTAAAGTGCCTGGGACAAAATTTGGCACATTTATTGGCTCTAAATAAAAGCTCGCTAAATAAATATATAGATTTGGAATTACTGGCTCTGCTCTATCTTATTATTTCTGACTAAGAATGTCCCGAGGATTATATTTCCTGGACCTACCTCTGGCAACTGCTGCCCCTCACCACTCAACCCTTTCTCTTTTTCTCATTGCAGTTCTTCACACTTGCAGCTGGTTTGGGGTCGGAGAAGACACGCTGACACCTGCGCTCCCAACACACTACGTCCTCTGGGCCAGGATTGTTCTAAGTGCTGTCCATTTAATTCACATAACAGATGTGCAATGGACGTACTATTATTATTGCCTTTTTAAGATGAGGAAACTTAGGCCTAGGCAGGTTAAATGACTTTCCCAAGTTCAGCGGGCAGAGTGGGGTTTGAGCCTTGGCCATGTGGCTCCAGGTTCTGAGCTGCCAACTGTGCTAGACCCTGCCTGTCTCAGCAGTCTGGGAGTAGAGTGACGTGAGCTCTGCACCTGGAATTGTCATCAAGTCTGCGTTCCCCTTTCCCAGGCATGTGACACAGGGTCAGCTGGGCCAGAGAGGGAAGATGAACTTCTAGAGACACTCAGGGGGCTGAGACTGGAGGCAGGGCACTGAAATCACAGGAATTGTTCTTTCCTACTGTGTCACCTGCCTCAGAAACTCTGAGTGACAGTTATGGTGACAGCACCTGGGGCCCATGTCAAAGGTCCTTCCTGGAGCTCTGAGTTTCCTTTTACAGAGTGTCCAGCTTCCTGCATCTGTAATCACGGGGACAATGTCCCACTCTTGTGAGGACTCACGGGGACCCACTCTCCAGGGATACCCTTGCTCTGGCACACCTGGTGTACAGGGATCGGAAAGCTCACTCTTTTGCAAATACAGCTGGATTGTAGAGCATTTCGTTATTTTGTTTCTAAAGAAACACTAGAAAATAGATGGGATTATAAAAAATTGAAAGCAGAAAGAGAATCTTTCAAGAGTTGACATTTTTACAAGAATCTAAGAATTAGTATTGTGGGGGGAACCCAGGGTAATAATTTATTTAAGTGTTGCAAATTGGAATGATGGTAATTGGATTTCACGTGTTGCTCGTTATGTTTAGTGCCGAAACGTCCATTACCTGCTGATTCTGAGAAGTGAAATAAACATTAGAATTTTTCAACAGCTGTAGTGTAGAATTTTAGAAATTGGTGTATGAATAGCGCAACTGGGGCTTGCTGTTTTGTATTATCAAAGTGTTTGGTCGTTGCCATTGCAGGGACTGTACTGAAGCCGACTCCGAGTGAGTGGGAAGCCACTCAGGGTGCGTTCCTGCCCTGCTGGAGCCAAACTGGAGGCCCAGTCCGCGGGGGCTGTTGGTGGCGATTAGATAATGCACATAAGAGCAGTGTGGCTGTTGACTGTTGTGCCCTGTCTTCAATAAGAAACGCTGCTGCGCCGTGCGTGGGTCTGGAGCTGAGAGTGACCGCTGGCCGGCAGGGAGGCCGCAGAGTCTGAACTCCTGCGGACAGGCAGGTGCTGCCGGCTTCCTCGTGGCCCCTTTGCACACCTGGAGTGGAGGATGATGGGCACCTCATCTCTTGTGCTCCAAGCCTAAAGCACCTACTTTGTAGTGATTAACCGTATGCATGTGAAACCAGCGAATAATGAAAGCATGTTTAGAAAGGGAGGTTGTGGAGCACTAGTCGGAGCTCTCTGCTCATTTGAGGGTGTTGTTATGGCTACGCTCAGTTTTCAGGATAAAAGTCACGCTTTCCTAGCACGGTGAGTCCCTGACGGTTCTCTCTGTGCTCAGGGCCTTCGTTACCATGTGTGACAGGGCACTGATGCAACGGAACGTTTCCAAGAACAAGGAGCTAAACAGGAACTCAACTCTGCATTTATAATGATTTCCACTTTGGCTTTTTGGCTTTACAGTGCAAAGAAAAATGTGCAATTCCATATTTGGTCAAAAACAAAAGAAATTAAGTAACTAATACAAATTCAAACTAGAGTCTGTTACTGTGAGGTATGGGGCTCTTAAATGAAACAATCTGACTCCAAAAATGGAGCAAAACCAAAAGACTCAATGCCGGTTCTTCAGAAGCCTCCACCTGACCCTGAATGGATGAACCAGAGACCACCTGTGTGCACAGACCCGCTCTCGGAGGGATTCCACCTTCATCCTGATGAAACAGACCCTGCTTAGATCCATGGGGGCTTGTTGGCACTAAGTGGAAAAGAAGATCCATTTTCCTTGTTTTCGTTCATACACTTGTAGCCACACAGCTAGCAAGAAGAATAGAAGAAAGTTTTCATCAAAATCATTCTGAACCTCACTGCATTTATATATATCAACTAACCCCATTAATAAGTATACACCCCAACATTTGCAAAATACTAATTACATTATGTAATTTTGGACATTATATAATGTCCAAAAGTTAGTTCAAGAAAATTTGTGTTTGAATTCTATATCTGTTTAGAAACCATTTGTTTTATATTCTTTCATAATTGGTTAAGCTTCATGAGTATGAAAACAGAGGTATAGATTTTTCAATGAACTCTAAATAATCATGTTGATTAAAGTTGAATTAATGTCTGCTTAGTAATTACAGGGTTATATTTCATTAATCAATTAATTTTTAATTTCTAGCTTGTCATGAAGACAGCAAAAGCTGATGTGTTCCCTTGTTTCCTATGCTATACTATGGAACATGGAATAAATATACACTTGTGTGTATATATACACACAAACACAAGATACATACATACATGCACATTTAGATGTAAAGACTATTCCCTTTGGTAAATATTAGGTATTCAAAGAAAACTGATTTAAAGGTTATTCAAAGCCAAGTTTACTAGGGTGATTATTATTGCACTTTGTTTAGCATAGCATAGCTGTTGACTGTTTACTGTTTTGTTTTGTGTGTAACAGTTTGATTTGTGTGCATTAAGTAGTTATTTTGCTAGACAAGTCATCTCCAGGTAAATGCCCTCTTAGTTTGCCGAATTGACAGAGCTTAATACTAGTTGCTTTACATTGAGAAAGGGAGGCTGAAAATGAATTATACTGTGCTGGCTAGGGTGAGGTCCACCAAATGTCGGTCTGGACGAAGAAACCTGCACACGTTCACAAAGAGCCTTCAGGAACGGCGGGCTTTGTCTTCTGGTGCACAGAGCATAAGGTCAGGTTGGAAGCTGAAGGTGCCCAGGCGGCCTACCGAGGTCGGATGCTCAGCTCTGCCACTTCTGAGTTTAGAAAATTGGGGAAATTACTTAATCTGACTTAGCTTTAGTTTCATCATTTTTAAATTATGAATAATGATAGTAGTACCCAGTTCCTAGGTTTAAAAGACATAATTTATATAAGACGCTATGAATGGAGTCAGCCTGTAACGAGTGCTAGTTCACTCTAACTCTTATTACAATTAATATATCGACTCTCTTTCTGTATGGTCCTGAGAGGGCACTTGGCCTGGGGGTGTGAGTTTCTTCATCTATAAAACAAAGAGGTGGGTAGGTTAACTAATCTTAGGATTTTATGATCCTCTTGTTATTAGAACATCTCCTAGAAATAGAGTCCTCTCCCTTCTCCCCCACTCTGCCACCCTTCGTGCAGGCAGAGGGGAGACCCCGCCAGGATGGGGGGCGAAGGGGGAGGGCATAATAGCCTCACAGGTGACCCCAAATTGAATCTTGAAGAAACACAAATAAGTTTTTTACCGTGTTTATTTTAGAGCAAGTTTCACATTGAAATTGCCTCCTTGTTTCTGAGATTCCTTTCCTAAGGGTCCTCCTGCATTTTTTTCTGTGTTGGTAGAAAATTAGTGAGAAACTCAAGTAAAAAAACTATAGGGAAACAAAACCAAGAGTCATTTAAACTCTAAGGCCCAAGACTTGGAGCGTGGATAGTATTCTTATGGCCACCCTTGCTCATGGATAGGTGGAGGATGACACCTGTCTCTTGTCACTTGTCCCTAAAGCCTCTTTTGTCCTGTCCCTCTCTGCCCCCACAGGCCCCTCCATTCTCCTCGTTTCCTATACTACATACACTATGGAACACGCAACACGTGTGTGTGTGCACAAAATACCAGATACACACACATTTAAATTTAAAGACCATCCCCTTTGATAGATATTGAATAAATATTAAAAGAAAACTCATATAAAGGTTATTCAAATCCAAGCTTACTCAATTAATTAATTAA